GCTTCCCACAGACTTATGGGGACTGGGAGGGGCATGGTTCCAGTGGGAAGCAAAGTACTCAGACCCAGGGATGTTGGGCCCTCAAACATGTACATATACCCCTAGCAGTGGCTCCAACACACAGTAAGTATTCAATAAATATGTGTTGGATAGTTATCCCTGCCCTCTAGGTGCTTATAGTCTATTCAGGGGACAAGATATGTACCAAATATGAGACAAGGGGCAGGGGAAACTTTCCTCTGGTTATGAATGAAGGGTATAGAAATGGAAAAGGGAGATGACCTTCTCCCTGGCTTGGTCTCAATACTGGTCAGGTGCGCTGGCACCAGGGTGGGAACAGGATAGAGATATTTGGAACCTCTAAATGGCAACCTGCCATATTATGAAGTTTACAGGTGAGTGACTTGGAGCATGAAGTCAACTCTAGTGATCAAGAGATCTAGTTCTACCACTTAATGCCTTGCAATCTTGGGCAAATAAAATCTCTGTGCCTCAGTTTCTCAAAGAGTAAAATGGAGCTTTAATAGCGCCTACCTTATAGAATTGATGTGAGGATTAAGTGCGATAATTTGGCATATAGTGAATGCTCAATAAATGGTAGTTACTATTAGCTTTCAAAATGCCTCATGCCTCCATGTCTCAGGCCCATCACCATTAAAGAGGTGTAACCGTGTTTCTGAAAGGTGTATATTTGAGATGCTCTCTCCATCTGCCTTAACTTGAGGCCTTAGGAATCTCCTAAGTGCTCATAACTAAATGCCCTTTGAAGAGGATAAAGGGTATACATAGTTATGTGTGGTTTCTCCCTGGGCTACTAGAGACTCTTACTTTCAGGTGATACTCTAAAATAACAACAGTATCCCGCAAATCTTATTCTCGCTCTTGAACTGTACTCAAAGCCTCCATCCAAAGAGATGACTTTTTTTTTTTTTTTTTTTCCTACGTAGGCTTCACACCCAGCGCAGGGCTCTGAACTCATGACCCTGTGATCAAGTCAGACGCTTAACCAACTGAACCACCCAGGTGGCCCCTAAAGGGATGCCTTTGTTCTTAGAGCACAAAATTCTGAAGACTCTTTGCAGCCATTCCCATGAGTGGAATTTTTTCCCATTCCACTCAACTCTTCCAAAAAAAGGTTAACACTTCAAATAAGCTTTATTATGGGATGACAGATTTGAGGTTCTTAAATAGATAGTGGTGGCGAGAAGAATGACGCTTCATCCCTGGGATGGTTTGTTGAGGAGGGAAGTGGGTAAAGTGCAAGGAGTCATCAGCTGGAGTGGCCCTTGGCTCACACACTTCAGCACCTACACAGTGCCTGGCACATAGTAGGTACTCTGTAAATATTTGTCAGCTATTTGTGGATGACAGAGGTTTCCTTTGGATACCGTATACAGGAAAGAACTTACATCTTTTACGTTTGTAGTAATTGGTTCCACTCCACCCTTCTGTAGCTCCTCACCCTTATTTTCTGGGAGAAGGGCTGGGCCCTCTTCATTCAGGGCTGCAGCTTCTCCACGTGTAAGACGAGGAGGAGTGGGTATAGTCACTTTGGGAGGGACACAATACTCTTGACTCCTCACTTTTGGGGATCCAGGATCTTAAAATCTGGAGTGTTTCCAGGCTGTCCTATAATGGGTGCTCATTTTTAGAATCCCTGTCATGTAGCGTCCTATTTTTGACCCTCGCCTCCCGCGTTTAAAATTGTTACTTGGTGGGTTGGAGGATCCCAGGCGACTTGAGGGGATCCCCGCTCCGGGGACGGCGTAAGGCAAGGAGGCGGGATTGGAGTGTTGGAGCCGCAGGCTCTCAGGGTCACCCAATCGCAGGGCCAATCGTCGGCTGAGGCCCCACCCCCGCCCCCGGAAGCGGCCCCGGATCTTCCTGGCACTACAGCCGGGTCGGGCCGAGGCCCGCGCATGCCTGGAGAAAATCTCCGGCCTCCGGGGGACAGGCCGCCTCCTGCTCCTTTCGATGGGCTCTGGCAATGCGAATAGGCTCCACCCACACGCGCGGCCCATTCTAATGACAAAGTCTGGGTTTGCAGACATGCTCCGCCCCCACGCGGACCAGCCCCAGCTGACAGCGTCCGGTTGCGCGGCACAGCCCCGCCCCGACGCGGGGGCAAGCTTCCCGACGCGGTACGCGAGCGCGGGAAGGCTTCCGCCCCGCGGCCGGGCGTGGCTTTGTGACGCACTTCCAGTGACCCCGCCCCCTCCAGTAGCGTCAGCAGATCCCAGTGGTTACGCTGGCGAGCGATGTCTCCGGGCGCTAGCCCGGCGTGGTCCCGCAGTCCTCGGGCCGCTCCTAGTCCCAGCAGCAGTTGAGCTACTTCCACCGCCCCTTCTCGGGCCGCCAGGAACAGCGGCGTCTGCTCCTGTACCGGAAGAAACAGCCAGAGGGCGAGATCAGGGAGGGCCACGCCCACAGGGCTGGCCCTTCCGGACTCCACTCTCTTGACGACTGGCCCCTCCCCATTCAGGTTGCGTGGCATTCCCGCTCTTTCTGCCTCTCCCACGCTCGTTTTCTTTTCTTTTCTTTTCTTTTCTTTTCTTTTCTTTTCTTTTCTTTTCTTTTCTTTTCTTTTCTTTTCTTTTCTTTTCTTTCTTAATTTCTTTCTTTCTTTCTCTTTCTCTCTCTTTCTTTCTTTCTTTCCTGTCTCTTCCTTTTTCTTTCTTTTCTTTTCTTTTTCTTTTTTTTTTTTGTAGGGAGCCCACTCTCGGTCTAACCCTGCCGTCCTGGGCATCTTTATCGGCTCCGGCCTGGAGAAGGGAGCGGGCGGCCCGGGCGTTGTTCACGGCGGCGGCCCAGTGCAGCGCGGTTTTTCCTAGGGGACGACATGGGAGGTTGTTACCCAGAGGCTGGGGACCAGACGCCTGGGTTCCTGTTTCCCACGGATTCTGGTTTAGAGGGAAGGACTTATTCGGGCTGGCTGGGTTACTTCAAAGGCGGAAGCGTTGCCTGGGTGACCGCCGGTTGGCCGGAAGCCTTGCTTCTAGTAACGTCACCGGCGCGCGGGAGGGACAATGGGGCATTGTTCTGGGCACGGTGGGACCGGGAGACCTCCCCCCACGAGACCCTTCCCCCTTCTCGCAGACACTTCTTCCCCAGCCTATTTTCCAGTGGATTAGGGCAGTGTGTGTATGTTGTTCAGGATGAAAGGGGAAGACGACGTTTTATACTGACACCACACCGCAGGTTTACCACCCTGACAGCTAGGTGGGATGGAATCCCCCAGCCTCCAGTTGGTCCTTCAGCTGCTTCCTTTTTTTTTTTTTTTTTTTTTTTTGCCTCTTACTCACACCCCATCTGTGCAAATTCTCCATAGCACAACTCCAACCTCTCCGGATTCATACCCCATTTATCTCTGGCCCCCACATCTGCTTGGGCTGCAATCAGTTCTTCAACCAGGTCCTCCACCGCCAGCCTAGCGGCCAGCATCAGGGCTGTGGTCCCGTCCTCTGTCCGTGCATCCACTGCAGTCTGTCTGCTGCGGAGCAGGAGCTGGGGGGCCAAAGAGGGGCAGTGATCCCTGGTATGTTCTGGACTGCTAGCTCAGGTCCCTCACACTCTTAACCACCCCCAAACCCATATTCAGTTATCTGTTGTTTTTCCTTTCAGATCCCCAATCTCATATCACCTTCCTCTCTGCCAAACCCTAGGGGATGCTTTTGCCCAGGTTTACTTATGAGTTTGCCCCCTGTTCCCTTTAGCGATCCCAGTGTGCACTGACCTGGCAAACCTCCCGAGCGTCAGCAGCCACAGCGGTGTGAAGAGGGGTGCGCCCTGCTCGGTCTGGCTGGTTGGGGTTGGCTCCAGCCTCAAGGAGACGGCGGGCAGCGGTTGGCCGGGAGAATCGGGCAGCCAGGTGCAGGGGTGTCTCCCCAGTACCCACAGTGTGAGCCTGGGGACAGGCCCCTCCACCCAACAGAGGTTCCCAGGGTTCAGGGCTTCCCAACCATGACCCCTGGAAGGTCCTGGACTCCACTCCCCCACAGCAAACTGCTGACATCAGGGCTGTCACCCCATCTGTGGGTGAGAGATATGAGGGATGGGAGACAAGTCAATCAAAAGGACGTAACTGGGGTAGGAGGAGAACTTGGAGGTTAATGGAGAATCATAGCCTCAAGTGTCAGGAAGCCCAGCTCTGGCTCTTGGTTTTATGTGGCTTTAGTCAAATGACTTTTCTACTTTTCTCTGTGCTTCAGTTTCCTCATCTGTAAAAGGAGCCAGTAGGCATAATTCTTTAACATTCTAGGGCAGTGGTTCTCAAACTTGAGTCTGGATCAAACTTACCTGGAGGGCTGGTTAAAACACAGATTTCCCAATATCTTGAATTTCTGAGTCAATAGCTCTGGAGTGGAGCCTGAGAATTTGTATTTCTAACAATTTCCCTGGTGAAACTGATTCTTCTGTCTGGGGACCACACTTTGAGAACCACAATTCTAAGGCACTAACTCTAAGGTTAGTTTTTTCAGCTCGAATATCAAAAGGCTTTCTGATTCTAGAAGAGTCAAAGGGAGTTTTCCTTTTCTTGATCTGGGTTGTCTTACATACCAGGCCCACGGGTATCCACGTCAGGGACATCCATCTCAGATTCCTGGGGAGGAGTCAGCATGGCTGCCTGGGGGAGCTCCTGACAGTCACCCCTCAGAGGACAGAGCTGGCACTTGGAGGGTGAGGCCATTTCCTCAGCCTTGGGGATCAGAACAAGGATCAGTGAAGGAAAGTTGACTTGTCCCTTTAACTCCACCATCACCTCAGGACCATTTCTGTCCCAGTGGTTTCACCTGGCGCACCTCTTCGCCTTCTTTGGTGCCTGAGCACATCACAACTCCATCCTCATCAACTTCTGCCTCTGGCTTCAGTGCCCTGGAAGGGGGTGTGTGGGTAGGGGACCTTCAGGGTCCCCAGGATTTCCAGCTGCCTTCCTTCCCCCCTCCCCTTCCTCTGTCATCAACTTCTGATCATCAATCTCCACAGGAAAGAGTCTTTCCCAGAGCCTGGGTTCATCCTCACTCTTACTTGAGGCCGATGCTATCTTCACCCAGGGGAGGCCGGCGTCTGCGGGGAGTGGGCTGAGTTCGAGGCCTTCGAATGAACCCAGGGGGCAGCCAGAGGGCCCCATGCTCACGGCGCCGCCGCCGGATGAGCTGAAGGACGAGAAGAGCCCCAAGGGCCAGGAGGAGCACCCCAGCCACTGGTGAGCACAACACAGGCCAGGGAAGCTGGTTGGTTGGTGGTGCTGGTGGGAGAGACACAGTCACAAAAAGAGACCATTTCTGGTGAGGCTGAGTACTACTGTGAGACCTTCGGGCAAGTGCAGTAACTTCTTTTTGTTTCAGTTTCCCCATCTGTAAAGTGGGAACAATAATTGTACCTGCCTCGTGGCATTGTTGGAAGGATTAAATGAGTTAATGTTATAAAGCGCTTAGAGCAAGGTCTGGCACCTCATAAGTGCTATAGGAGTTCTTTCATGTACTGTGAGCTGTTTGGCAGAGGGATGATTGGACTTAGTAGACAGGATAGACCAGAACCCAAGGTTTGTGGGAGGTCTATGGTAAAGGTTAGGATAAAGTACTTCGGGAAATAAGGGAGGAGACTGGAGAGCAAATGGGTCATGAGGAGATCCAATTAGAGAATGAGAGGTTCATGAGGGTAAAGTATCCACACAGAACATTTGGGGTCCTTGCAATCCCATGTCATTTGGCCTCCATTGCTCGTTGCTGGCATGAAAGGGTGTCTGGGAGCAAAGTCAGCGGAAATGACAGGGGGTCACCTACCAGTGCCAGCACGAGGATGGGCAGCCAGCAGCGGTCCTGGCAGTAGGTGCTCCAGGGCCCCCACTGCAGCCATTGCAGCAAGGAAGCGGAGCAGGAGCCCAGGGTCCCAGGGACAGCGGGATGCAGGGTGGTCAGGGCCACAGCGGGACAAATCCACACCCATCACTACCACAAACCTGTGGGGGAGGCGCCTTAGAGTCCTGTGTGTTGCTTGCTGGCTCCCTTCCCTCCACCCGTTAAAACACTAGTGTCTGACCCATCCTCCTGCCCGGCCTTCTTACCCAGTGCTGAGAGAGTCTGTCTCCTTGCCCCCAGGCTGTGTTTGAGGGGCTGCTCTCTCCTGATGAGAGGGATCCAGGGTTCCTACTAGCTCCTCTTCGGCCTGGGCCCCAGGATAGGGGTACACCATGTCCTTGCCATCACTGTCCTTCCTTACCCAGAGCCCCACTCTCAGAGTCAGGGATAGTACCCGGGCCAGGGCAAGCAGCTGCTGGTCCAGGGCTGGGGGGCTCAGCACCACCAGCAGGGCCAGGGAGGGCCCCCATTCTGAATCTCCATCTTTGGGCCTGCAGTCACCCCCATCCCAGCCACATTCTGCAGTGTTGCAGCCTTTCTCGCAGTGCTCGTTGTGGAAGTGATCACGGCAGTACTGGTCATAGGCTGGACTGTGGGGTGAGGAGAGAGGGACTCAGGATCCCCAAAGAAACTTGACCCCCTTCTTCATTCCAGAGAGATGCCTGATATTCCACTGCCTCTAGGGCACAGGTTGCTAAGTGGGTACAGCTCCAGA